TGAAGCGAGAACAGGTACAACAGGATTTCAGGTTAGTATTGTTATGCAAATTAGGTACATTGTTATGCAAACTATTGAGAGTAGTAGTTAACAGAACAGAAAAGTTGATGTACATGCATAAATATGCGTCTTTTCAATTTTAAACATACTTTAATTGGGGGGTTTCACTAGGTTTTATTTTCTGATATAAAGTGAATTTGCTAAAATAAAATTGTTTCAATGGAATATTTTAAAAATGAACCCAGTGAATATGCTCAGAATACAGTCTTTTGGGTTATGTTTGTCCAGATTTTAAATCACATTCAATTTTTATACATACAGGATGTACTGCAGCAAGTGTTTCACGAGGTCGGCATCAGTCAATTTAAAGATTTACAAGTGTTCTGGGAGACCAGGATACGTAATTACCATAAAGTCACCCAACAACGTGCACATCAATTACGACAAGAATATGACAAATTTAGGGTAGGTAATTCAACTATTATGTAAAGTACTTTACTTTTTTTTGAGAATAACGTTTTTCATCTAATCATGAAAATTTCAAGTGGAGAAAATTTATGTTTTGTACTAAAATGTTTGAATTAACTGTGGCTGAAAGCAGTTTTTGTCATCTAGCTTTCACAAAATAAATCCTCATAAATTTTGTCCATAGTTTAAAAATATTCTGATCAGGATTGTAGCCAATAAGAAGAAGTTATGTCTATTTGATTCAAAATTAATGAAAAAAAATAATGGAAAAAAAAAATATGCAAAATGTTATGCAAACATTTCAGTGGGAAATAATTTGGTGTTCAAAGGAGTCAAAGGCACTGAGAAATGTTGTTTCAAAATAAAAGGGAATGTAAATGAGGTCTTATTAATAATAACATAAACAGCAAAATTGTTGGTACTTAGTGAGGTCAAAAAATGACCATGAGATGTCCTTCAGAGTACTCACAGTGGGTGGTTTCCTATCAGTTCTCAGTTTATTGCCATATCACAAGTATTACTTTGTAGACAAGGATACTATGTATCAAATTATATTAAGTGTGTATAAATATTTACGATATCAATAACTCTTTATTGAGATTTAAATACTTTGACCTCAAATGTCATTTTATTTTACTGGGGACATAATATCTATTTAGTGGTTAAGAATATGTGGTTTTGCTTGCGTGCGTTTGGTTGCAATCACTTTTTGAATAACCCTCAGTACATGGTTGCATCTTAGTGCAGACTTTGTGGCACAATTGCAATAACCTCATATTCTTTCTTTTGCTGTCATATTCCACTATTCTATAGCTTTGACAAAACAAAACAAAAATAAATAATACAATGACATTTTCCTGGGGAGAACACTGACCACTTTTAAATCAATGTCTATACACTTTCAAGGTTAAAGTACACTGTAACCTGAATATAATGAACACTTATAATGAATTTCCTAATATAATGAACACATAGCGTGTTTCCCGCTCACAACAAACCCAATGTATTATGTGCTTCATTATAAGTGAACATTTCACTATAACAAACTAATTGTATGTCCCC